AGCATCACTTCGCATAGCCTTTTTCTTGCTCACCTCCAATATACCTCTAATTCAATTTTCTCCTATCTCCACATCCTCTTGCTAAGAATCAGAAAAACGAAGAGTAAGTCTATTAATAAAAATTATTTAGGTGAGAGGCAAGATGTGCGAGGCTGAAAGCTGAAAATATCGTTAAAATCTTTTCGATAAAAAATTTTTTCTCGCCTCACGGACATTACTTCCAGAAATCGCGGATACATCGATATATTTGCAGTTGTGACTCTTCGCAATCCCTTCGGCTTTTGTTATTTTAACTTGGCTACAAAGAATCGCAGTGAAGATTCGCTGAGAAATTCGTTGTGACGCTTGAAGTGAAATTAAGCGAAAATTACTTAAACACTACTTTATCGTATATAAATCAGCATTTAAAACCTATCTTCCATTCCATCTAATATTCTCACTGTGTGAAGAGCATTTAAATAATGCAAAATAAAAAAGACGCTTTTTAACAGAGCCACGAAGTAAAAGTTGGTCATCGTTGCATATCATCGGAATGGAAACAAACAAACCTGTTATTAAAAACATGTCTGGGTGGTACTCGTGACCCACTGCACTTTTGTCGCTAGGTGAATGACTTTCTGGTAAAAAATTTCTAACCGTATTAAACTGGACGAGCCTAATCAAAAACGGCTCATTTAAAACAACCAATTTATGCATTTATTTGTTTGGTGAATTTTTTTTCAAATGTATTTTGTGAAATCCAAAATGGCTACAAAATTAACCGTTCATTATTTAAATCACTTTTATTGCCGACAAGAACCACTTTAATTTCTTTATTTCGTTTTCGTTCTATATATTCAAACCAATAATCAGTTTTCATCAAAGACTCCATGCCTGAAAAAAAAGAATGAAAAACAAGAATAAATTAAAAAATTCTGACTCCTTTTTCTAAACCTTTCTGATTTTCTCGAAGATGTTCCAGAAAATTTGCTGAATTGGCGATATAAAAAAATTGAGAATTAGAAGGCTTACTTACAAGTAATATCAAAAACGATAATGGCAACGTCAGAATCGTTCAAATACGATGGCAACAAACATCTGAAGCGTTCTTGGCCTGCAGTATCCCAAATTTGCAGTCGTACCTTTAATAGAAATACAAATAAGTCGCCAGCTTCATCCGGATTTTTGAAGGATAAGTTTGCTCTTGCTGAGTGTAGAACATCTAAGTTCTTATAATCAGCTGAACCACTCCACATGGTGAAAGATATAAAATTAGGAAAGAGTGAAATAAGGATTAATGATAAGGATTAGGCAATGATTTTCAAAAATATGGTATAACAAACAATATCAATAATTTACTATTTTATCGGGCAGTGCAATATTTCTGCTATAAAAATCGATTCCGATTGTTGGATTATATTCCTCGAGATTTTTTCCGAGAACAAATTTCATTATCAACGATGATTTGCCGACTGAAATTATAAACTGTTAAACTGTTAATTTTTGACGATAAAATATTAAGAACCATCCAATCTAAATGGGTGCCCATCGTTTCTGCAATAAAAGTACAAAGATTCGCCATCAGCAAGCCGACTTCTTCTGTCACAGGTAAAATTTGAGCTCTCCCAATACAATAATCTGAACCACTATTTAATCGCTTATTCTGCCCTCTTTGAACAAACCCATTCCTTAATATAACTGGATCTAAAAAATAAAGAATATTTTAATTAAATTATTTTTATAAAATACAAAATTAGAGGCCATATTTATATTAATAATAATAAAATTAATGATAACTGATAATAAGCCTATAATTTCTAAAAAATTGTTTTACCGTTTTTTTCACCAAGAAATATCACTTTGCATTTGTAAAACTCTTTACTCTCTTCTTCTTCTTCTACATTCATACTAAAATAATTTTATTTAATAAAAAGGATTGTCAATAATTATTAACAAAAAATTATTAATAAAAAAGAAAATGCGAAATTCAGCATAAAACCAATGATATTTTAAAACAATAATTAATATTTTAAAACAATATTAGGAATAATAAAAGTAATAATGATGGTAATAACAATAATAATAGCAGAATAATGCAGTAGAATAAAAGTAGAATAAAAGTAGTAATAATAAAAGTAGAATAAAAGTAGTAATAATATAATAATAGTATAATAATAGTGATAATAATTAATAATAATAATAGAAATAATAACAATAAAAAAATTCTATCATCCAATTTTTTGTTTTTTTACTTCCGTATTTTTGTTAAAATTTACTTTAAAATTCATTTTCAAGAACAGTGGACTAATGGAATTAATAGAAAAAAAACTGAATCCGAAACTGATAGAGTGATGATAGAGTGAGATGATAACCGTTATCAATGTTATCATTATAAATTATTTTGTACATATGAATTATCATTAAATACTTTTATTTCACTTTAAGATTTTTAACATTCTAAAATAAATGAGTAAAATCAGTGATTATAGATAGGGCTCATTCACCCAATATTAAAAGTTAATAAGTCCTAAAAATTCTGCAGGATGCACGGGAACTTTTACTATTTACTAATTTTTTACCATTTCTATTAAAGAATATTTGGAAAAAATTTGGGACGAGAAGATTCATTTCCGACAGGAGATTGAAGGTTTACGCTGATTGGATCCTCTCACCGAGACGGGTTCCACCTTTACTGAAAACTCTTTCTACCGCCAAAACGAACCGAACCCGCGGTGCTCGATTTCAGTTGAAGCAACCCACTGCTCGAGGATTCCGGCCGATTATAAGTTTTTAAATAAATTAAGCCATATTAAGTGAAAAATTGCATAAAACACGTTCGTTGCAAATTTGCAGACAATGAATTTAGAATAAGTTATTAGCCATACAGACACACACACATACAAACTGTTTGTTAAACTATTTGGAAGAATGAAAGTCGCACGTAGCGATAAATGCGACATTGGATGGCGGAAAATACGAAAATATATCAAAGATGGAGGAAATAAATCTCATAAATTCCGCATTAATCTTCGAAAGCTACAATAAGCTCAACCTGGCGTTCAAAACGAGATTTAAGACGGCACTTCTAATCATTTACGGCAAGGAAAGCCAGTAAGTGGCGCAACATTACGGGATATATCGACGTTTAATTGGAGTTTGGGAAGATTCCCCACAATATTTCGCGGATTTCCAAAACCTTCATAACCCTCGACGGACCAATATATGACGCAGTAATAAGGCTTCCCTTTCTGTTTTCCGAAACACGGATATTTCTTCAACACACTAGAATAAATGCTTAAAACTGTCCTCAAATCCTGTCAAACCCATCTCCTTGTAAACTTTTATCTTTCATCTAACTCTATTCTACCAGAATTCACCACATTCACAACAACATTCTCCTTTCTTACATTCGTTAAACCCCCCCCCCCCCCCCCCCACCCCCCTTCGGTATACTCGTCTGCCACGTTTTTTCGGTGTTTCCCATGTCCATCAAAGCAGCTTTTGCAATTTTATAATTTTTTTCGACGATTGCAAAAGTGCAATTTTCGTCCATCTAGTCTAGCATACCAGTCTCACAATTCAACAGAGCTTTTGACATGCAGGTTCCCTTGACGGCACTTTACGAAAATTTTTGCGAAGTGTGGCACCATAAGATTTACCAATGTTCCGATGTGGTAGGTTGAGATTTCTTACGTTTTTATGGAGCATCGACATATTGTATGGAGATATCTAACCTTCGCACTTAGTGGACTGAACTTCGAGTTGCGCAGGACTCACAAGTGACTATATTAGTTTCTGGTGCATTAGGACATAGGAGCTTTAGGATGGTGTGGACTACGGTGAAACACACCATGAAACTGAGAACTGAGGATGTCAAGAGGATGCACATATTACCGAGCTCTTAAATTATAAAGGGATCTATGAAGTGGTTAAAGATAGCCGTCAACCGTTTTTCCTTAATAGACGATATTACCTAACAAAATAGCCAAAAGTTCATTTGCCACAGAATTTTTTTTTTTTAAGAGTCTTCACCATTACTGGTTAAGCTCGCTCCACTGGCTTGTCGCACTGCACAATAAGCCAGGGAGTCCACTGGCGATTAAAGTACAGGTGAGTCGCCAGCATTACCCTGATTTTCCGACAGGTTTACTCCTGCGGGAAATCGAACCTCAGCGCATCGGCGCTCCTAACTGAGGAAAACCCACTGCACCATCCTACCCCCACTTGCTACAGATTACGAAACGCAGATAAAAATTTTACAGATTTCTGGAGAAAAGTTTATTCTCAACCATAACTGCCAATGTCCAATTTTATTCTCTTTGAATGCACAAAAAAAGCCGAAATTCTTCACGCCTCTTGAGCCAGTGAACTGCAAAACCTTTGACCACAAATTTAGCAAATGGATATTACCGAAACCAAGAATTAGCCCAAACGAAAATCCACGAACAAAACATCGGAAACATTCTTCTTATGCTATACTTAGAAATAAACCGCACCGCACCTGATAGACAAAAAAGCGCAAAAGCAGATTAATTAATTAATTCAAACATTTCTGAGCAATCTTGTAAATCCACAAAAAATTTTATTAAAAAAAAATAAAAATTTACATGGGAACAAATGTAAATTTGGTTAGAAACAGAAAACGGATTTTAATAAATGTAAAATGAAATCATCTAAAACCAAATTGAGATTTCAGCCAAAAAAACCATCCGAAACCTTATTTTTTCTCTTCACGTGAAGCTGCTTTAATTGGAATTGAACGTGTTGGTGGTGCACCAATCGCTGCCTTCTTCGCCTGAACACTCAGTACACCTTGATCAGATAGGTGGGATTCAAGCGTATCAGGTTGTGCGTCATCTGGAAGAACATATTTTCGAATGAAATGACGCTCAATACGACCGTTTTCATCACTACGTTCTTCATGATGTCCTTCGATTACCAATTCTTTTTCACGTAGATTTACGCTTAATTCTTCCGGACGAAACTGTGAAACATCCACCTCAACCGCGAATCTTTCCGCATCATCTACCACCTCAAATTCAATTATTTATAATAATTATTTATTATCAAAACAGTTTTCACCGATTTCCATCAAAATACTTAACAAAAATAAAAAAGCTCTCCGCACCATTATTGAATACAAAAACATGTAATCAATAAACCAAAAAAGAAGCATTGCATTGAAGCACTCAAAAACTCAACAATGTTCGCACACAACCACATATAACATGCGGGCGGCGATCGACCGACCTTATTTACTATATTATTATTAATATTAGGTTTAAAAACTAACCTTCCCAACTGCATTACCAATGTTGCATTGTTGTAAAAGAGGCTGATGTAACCAATAAGGCATAACCGAAGTACGCATCGAACGGCGAAATTCACTCATAAGGTCATCATAAACACGATCCATATAACGCTGCACGGGGAAGTAGAAACGACGATCGTCATCGAAAGGGAACAACGACATCCTCCCACCGCTCCTCAATTTCCAAATAAACTTGACTTGGCTTCAATCGATTATTTATAATATTCAGGCGGAGCTTTTAGAAATTTCTCGAATCTTCTCGTGTTTTCGTTAAAGTGTTATTTTGCAAAAAATTACTGCAGTTAAAATTTTTTAATGTGTTGCAGAGATCAAAGATCACACGAGATGACACTGATAATGTGCATGGTGCTGGGAGTGATAACATTGATAATTAGGGGTGATAAATCAAAAAAGTTGATATGGTGCCAACGAGGAATCCGATGAAATTAACGAGCGAAGCGAACAGTCGAAAAATACTTTTCACAGCGCACTTTCAAAAGAAAAAAAAAAGAAACGAATTTGAGCATTAAAATAAACAAAATTAAAAACAAATAAAAATAAAAATCAGAAAATAAACAAAAAGCGCTGCAAAAGTCCTATTTTCTCCTCTAACCGTCTAGCATACTATTTTAATCTTATATAACCCCGCCCACCCATGCGTTTTGCATTATTTGTTGCAAAACATTTTTCTTCTCATGACCAATTTTGGACTATTGCCAAGGAAGTTGGGTTGTTGACAATCGTTACTGACGAAGAAGGGTGGCTGTGAGCTGTAAACGGGTGGCATCGTTCTATTTTAGTAGGAATTACTGGATTTCGCGAATTCCAAAATGGATAAATTTCATAAAAAATATTTTTTATTGATGCCAACATATCAGCTAAAATTTTAATGCGAAAAAAGGCGTTTTATTTGCGAAAATTTCGATTTCCATTTTTGCCATTTATATTTTCATTTAGTTTTATTTATTTTCTCATAAAAAGTGGTCTTATTTTTTGGATTATTCGTTCGCTTTCGTCGTACTTTTCAAATGTGAGTCCATTTTTAAAATACTTTTTAGAAATTTTCAATTAGGATAAACGATTTTTTGAAAGACAGTTTTTTTGGAAGAATTTCCAGAAAATTACATGTAAAAGAAATCTGATTAAAAGTTTTCATTTTGTACTAAATGAAAAGTTGGATGCCGGAAATTTCACGGTTATTGCATTTTCTATTTTTCGCTTAAATATGCAGTTAATGCGATCTCCATTTACTGATAAGGACAAGGCATTCAGAGGCGGTTGATTCCCATTCACTGATAAGGATAAGGCATTCAGAGGGTATGAGGCTAAAAGGGGACTAAAAGATTATAGGTTCAAGGCAGTTGTTTAATTAATTACCGTAAACTATCCTCTAGAAAATGAGCGGAAGCGAAAATAGTGAATGAAAATAAAATAAAATATATCCATAATCAGAAACTCCTGATGATGCTGGCGACTTATCTGTATTTCTGTCGCCAAGAGACTCCTTGGCATATTGCCAAATGCGGCAAGCCAGCTGGAGTTTAACCAGTAATGGTGATGAAAAATGAAATGGTGATGAATGGTGATGACTCTAAAAAAAAATAGCCAGAAACTGCCCTCTTATTTTCTAAAATAAAAAATATGCGAAATATATTTTGAAGTATATTTTTTTAAAAGTTTCATTAAAACTGAAAATTTGGCGATAAAAAGTTCCTTGCTTTTGCATATTGGCTTTCGCTTCTTTAACATTTTTGATAATTTTTCATTATGGAACATTATCATTTTCTGGTTTTAATATATAATATTTTTAATATTTCATTCATCAATTATTAATGTGTATGATATTCATAATTGAATAATTGGGAAACCAATCAAGTTATAGTTTTGTTTCATTAATTAATAAAATGAAAAAACAAAGTAGAAAATAAATGGTTTTTTAAAATAATCATGTAAAAGTAAAAGTTTAGTTTTGAATAAACAGAAAAAATTTCATTCAGCTTTTAGGTGGATGTTGAAGAACATTTACTGAATAAATATAAAATAACAGCGCATCGAAATATTCAGTGGCTTGCTGATACAATATCATTGCGTACTTTTAATGGAACGAATAATGATGAAGAAATTTATTGCCGTAATACGCGGCAAGGCAAACTTATTGTTACTGATGATAGAGATATGAATTTTTTTTCTTAGTTTTTTGAATATTTGTCTATTAGGTCACTTACTGTAAACATAAACATTTTTATAAACATCATTTATTGAAGGAATGGTGATTATTAATTGGGAAAAATTCATTTTTTATGATGCGAAATTTAGAAAATTCTTAGTCAGCTAGATCAAATAAAAATTGGAAAATTTTAGTCTTGATTTTAATTTTAATTTATCCCGATATTCTTAGTTGTTAATTTGTTATCAGTTATTTACCATTTTTAGATTCATAATAGAAATCTTCATAATAGAAATTTTTATCATAAAGTAGATAATATGGGTAGTGCGAGAAATGAAAAATTTTATATAAATTTCAATTTTAGGATACATCTGTGATCGGTCTAATTTAAAATCAAACGGTTGTTGCGAAACTGGAAGATACTCGGTGAGATTCAGTTGTTCAGGTTGTAATCAGCTTGTTGGATGTTGTGCACATTATGAACAATGTGTTGCTTGCTGTTTAAGACCCGATCAGGTGATAAAATTAATGTATAAGTTCCTAATGTCTAATTTAATCTAATATTTTTTACTGATTTTTTTTACCAGCCATTTTTTCCTTATAATTAAGAAATAGAATAATTATATTTATATTTTGGGTTAAAATATGGACAAGTTCATTTCTTGCTTTAGTATTCAGTATTTTTAATACCTCATGCATTTTGAATTTTCAAATGCATATATTTTCTTTTCTATATATTTTTATAAACATATATATACAAACATAAACATATATAGACATTTATATATATAATTTATATATAAACATAAACATGAATAAAAATTTAAATTTTCATATTTTTTTTCTATTCAGAAAAAGACGTTGTTAGAAGTGTTACGATTAACCTCAGGACACCGCTTACGTCAGATATTGGCTTCAAAGGATCAGTTTGATCTATGTGTTTCGAAATGCCGCACTTCATCTGATGTATTTTTTACTGTTTTTCTGCAATTTACTGTTCCTTTTTTATTTTAATTATTGAAAATTTAATTAATCAATTTTTAATCAATTAATTCAATTAATCAATTAATTCAATTCTTAAAATAGTTTTTTTTGTTGTTTTTTTGAGAATCAGAAATTTCAGAAAATTTAGTAAAGATTTGTAGAGCGTACGTCTGGAGAATCGCTATAAAGACGAGGGCCTTAAATATTGTTATAAACGAGAACCATCACATGCTTATCCTTATTAATTGAATTTAGTAAGTTATTTCAAGATGTATTATGCATTTATAAAGTACTAAAATAAAAAAGCAGATAAAAAAAGTGAAAACAATAACACAAAAAAAAAAAAGTTAATAGTAAGTCAGAAAGCAGTGGATCTTTTTCTTCTAATAGCTCTCACCATTACTGGTTGGGCTAGTCCACTGCTACAAGGCTAAAAATACTGTTCCGCCATCGCTGACAGTAATAGAAATTTTTTTAAGTCTATATATCATTGGTCCACCTATATGTCTTTCTTAACTGTATATATCTTGATTGGCCATCCTAAATTTTGATCCTACTTTGACCGATTTTGATTCATCATTGAGTTTAGCAAGTAACGAAAAATATGCCAGCTCCTGTAGTGGATGCCGTAATCAGCGAAGGCTACCCTCTATGATGGTACTGTAATACACGTAGTATTGGAGCGAAAGTGGATGTGAGAAGGTGTATCTTAAAGGAAGAATTTCTTAATATCCTCCATTCTCCACATTATCCATTTCTCTCAACCATATAAGAAGGTCGAGCCAACGCAGCTGTATGGACTTGGGTCTTCACGGTGATTTTGCAGGGTCTCCACAAACCTTCATCAGCCCAACGAATGAAAAGAACTGATTGAAATAAATATTTTATCAACTTCTTGCTGTAAGACGAAAATGCTTTAGTTTTATCTACATTTATTTGCCCTGAGTCCATGTCCATTATCCAGTCTATCGCATAGTTGAATAATGTAGGAGAAAGGATGTAGTCTTTACGACACCAGTTCCCATTTTCTAAGGAATTCTCCATATACACAGATCTGTGCTAATATATGCTGATATAGTGCCTTTATGAATCCAGTGATCTCTGGAATACCTTCACATTCCATCATCCTCCAGAGTGCTTCTTTATCAATTGAATTGAAGACAGTTGTGGAAATAGAATGGCGTTGCTCCTATCATCTGGTATTACTTCTTTTCACCGCACCAGAGAGTTGATAAAAAAGAACTATGGACAACATTTGAAGATTTCGGTTCGAAAACCATCTTTTCCGGAGTTTGATTGGCCTTGAGATTATGGATAACAGTTTATTTTTTCTTTTCTCTTGGCAATTCACAGGTGCATATGTATGGCTGAGCGAGCGAATCAGCTATATCTGTAACAGATGATGATTAAATTTGGCGTCGAAAAATGCTTTCCATCTTAGGCGATCCTTAATTGCCTTAAGGCACGCCATTACTATCCCGTGCAATTTCACTGATTGCTCCCGGGGTTATAATTACTTTATGAAGAAGGCGGAATAATTTCCTATATCTATTTTTAATCGAGCCACCGTCTCCATTTGCAAGGCCACTTCAGTAATGATTACTCTCCGGCGGAGGTGCTGTCGCTGTAATTCTTCGAAGCATCCGATTTCAGTTCGATAGTTATTTCTGACAATTACTTCTGCATTTCCTACTAACATATCATAATATGGAAGTAGCTGTTTTTCGGAATCACCTTTAGTTGGGAGCATCCGCCGTCCCAGAGGACCACTGTGATTCTGGAGATCCGATGCACCATGTAAAAAATAATAGAATAAAAAATTCGCGGAATGATGCTCGACTACCACTCTTTAATATTTTAGAAAATATCTGATCTATTTTATTTATTAGGACAGTAGTAGACAATAGAAATATCGAACATATTATTAAAAATTTTATTCTTCACCTCACATCTCGAATTTGACTAATTAAACTTCAGTAATATATTGATAAGAAAAAACAATATTCGATACAAATTAAATCCAAAGATTAAAAAGAAAAAAGATATCTTAAAAAAGGAACTGAATAAATAATATAAGGGATTTTAAATAAAAATAATGTAAAATATTGAAATATTGGAATGGTTGGTTTATTAACATATGAAAATGGAGTAAGCTAAGAATTAAGTTAATAAAAGGATTCTTTTGGCGGGTCTCACCAGTTTGAAATAATTCAGAGAAAATATCGCATTTCGCGATAGCAATCTTCTCGGATAGTTGACTGTTGCTTCCCAATTAGCGCATATGTCTGGTATGGAAGGGCTAAATTTCAGAGACATGTCTTTAGTTGGGACCACTGTTCATCCTCCGTTCAGAGATGTCATTCATTTCACTGAAATGTCTCTATAATTCTGTTTGAAATGTATTTATTGTTCCCAGTTATTTTAGATTGAGATAGTTGAGGGATCTTGGGATACGTTATTTGATTCATGAAGGTTACCAGTTTCAGCACCCCGATAGGAACGACTATCTAGTATTGAACTTTTCCAACGGCGACTGACTAATATATCTTCTTCTTCTAACAGCTCTCACCATTACTGGTTAGGCTGGCTTCAACGGCTACAAGGGTAAGATGCTTCCAAGCGACGCGGTCTGATACCATCGTCGACAGTGATGGAAGCCATTCCTTTTTCCATCGTCTAAGTCCATATATTGCTAGTCCACCTATACGTTCAAAATCTTTTCTTACCGTATCAGTCCAAGTCATGATTTGCTCACCTTGCTTTTGACGCCAACCATCACACGGTTTAGCAAATAACGAAATATGCGTCAACTCCTGTGGTGGACGACGGAGATTGTACCCTAACGCACCACCGAAGACGACGCTCTGTGATAACATTATTTATGCAAGTGGTATTTGAACGAAGATGAATGCGATCTTATGATATCTTATCCGCTCGACGATCAGTAATATGTACCTTAGACAAGAGTGGTCAAAAGCAGGTAACTTCTTAATATCCTCCACTCTCATTGACCATATCTCAAAACCATATAGTAAGATCGAATGGATCACGGTAATATAGATGCGGACTTTCGTTTTTATGATGATTTCACGACGATTCCATAAAGATTTCGTCAACCGGAAGAACGCATTTCTAGCTTCCGTGATCCGAGTTGTAATATCTTTTGCCTATCCATTTGGTATTAGAGTGGACCCAAGGTATTTGAAATCGGGCACTTCCTCAACCGGCAATGCATTTACAAAAAGAGGTATTTTATCAGCTTCTTGCAGATAAGACGAAAAGGCTTTCGTTTTATTTGAATTCTTGCTGTAGTTTCTGACATGTTATTTAGTATTACTTACATTTCCTTATAATTGTCAGCAAAAAGGACTACATCATCAGCGTATTCAAGATCTGTGATACGATGCTCTGGATTAATTTGGACGCCTCTTGAGTGACGACAAACGATGTCCATTACCCAGTCTATCGCATAATTGAATATTGTAGGGTAAAGGATGCAGCCTTGAAGGGCACCAGTTCTCATTTCGAAGGAATCTGTCAGTTCCCCATATACACATAGACCTGCGCCGATATGATCCGCTCATAAAATGCCTTTATGAGCCTAATGATATTCTCTGAAACACCGTCACGTTCCATCACGCTCCAAAGTGCCGCTCTATCAATTGAATCAAAGGCAGTCGCAAAGTCAATGAAACACGTGACAGTGGGTTGCAAATATTTGAAGCGATGTTCCAACACCCTTCTTAACGTGAATATCTGGTCAACACAACCGCGCCCTGTTCTGAAACTAGCTTGATTAGGGTGCATCCTGTCCCGTACTTCCATAAATCTATTGGATAGCAGGGAAGCAAAAGTTCTTGCTGAGACGTCTAGTAGGCTAATTCCTCAATAATTGTCGCGGTATGTCCTATCACCTTTCTTGAGAATTGGGAGCAGAATTGCTTTGCTTCAATCATCTGGTAATATTTCTTTTTTTCATACTAAAGAGTACATTTATTGAAGGTGCGTTATGAAGGACAATGGACAGCATTTGAAAAGCTCAGCCCGAAAACCATCTTCTCCTGGAATTTTGTTAGCCTTAAGCTTATGGATACCTTAAATTATTTCTTCTTCTGTTGGAGGCTCGCAGTTGCAAACGTATGCTTTGACAAACATACAGCTATATCAGGGGCAACAGATGGTGCTTCATGGTTAAGTTTGGCCTCAAAGAATTCTTTCCATCTTATAAGGCCATCCTTAGTACTTTTGATTAGTACGCCATTGCTGTCTCTTACCATTTCACTGATCGTTCCCCGAGTCATACTTACTTCATGAAGAAAGCAGAATAGTCTCCTATTTTCTATTGTCGCTTAATCAAGTCGACGCCTCCATTCTTGAGGCCATGTTACTCCAATAGTGATTTCCTTGCTGCTTTCGTTGCAAATCTTGGAAGCACCCGATAATCAAGATCATCGTGCTTTGGCAGCTTTTTCAGATAATTGCTTCCGATACCCAACTAACGCACTTCCTACTAGTATGCCATAGCATAGAAGTGGCTGATTTTCAGAGACATTTCTTTAGTTTGGACCAGTATTCATTTGCCGTTCCAGAACAATCATTGATATTTGTATTATCTTTGAGATATTTCAATAATTCGGTTTGAAATGCGCTCACTGTCCCCGAATTTTTTAGTTTGAGATAGGATCTTGGGGGATACTGTTTTTTGCGAGTTGTCGATTTTATGCGAATCTTGGCTCGAACCGTAACATGGTCAGATCCATGAAGATTGACTGTTTCAGCTCCACGATAGGAACGACTATCTAGTACGGAATTCTAAGAAACTGGCAACTGATTAAGGCATAATCAATCTGGTTGAAGTGTTGGTTGTTCGAGGAGTTCCACGTGACTAGATGTTTTCTATGATGCCGGAAGCAAGTATTAGTAACAAAAAACTCTTCGGCATAACGAAGAAGACGTTCCTCATTGGCGCACCGATCTGCGATGCCATATTTGCCAATTGTTGAGGTCATCGCATTATGACCTACGCGAGCATTCCAGTCTCCCCCGATTATGATCATATCATGTTTCGGTAGAGATTTTGTTAGCAGTTGAAGTTCCGCATAGAATTTGTCTTTATCATAGTCATCTGCCAACAGAGTTGGAGCATAGATACTGATGACCGAGATATTGCAGAACTTACTCTTAAAACAGGCATAGGCCATACGGTCGTTTGCCGGTTTCCATTCAATCAAAGCGGAATGGGCTT